AAAAAAAAAAAAAAAATTACACAGTTCACAAATATTTCTGTATGAAGTATTTCACAAGTAAAGCACCAAAAGTTTATCAAATTAAGTGTGGATTCCTGAGAATAGCAAAAGTTGCACACACACACACACACACACACACAAAACACACACACACACACACCTCCAAATGCCAGCTATAAAACCTAAAGAAAGAAAAAAAATGGACATTTGAGCTGTATTTTATACGAATCAACAATAATAAAACAATTGAATAAAATTATATACTTCATCTTGACATGCTACCACAAATCAGTACAAAAGAATTTAACTAATTTTTGGGCCAGAATTACAAAAAAATGGCAGCTGATAAAGTCGATCACAAAAAGTTGTAGGAATTGTGGAGCTCAAAAGTTAACGGGTGAATACGAGCTTCGGTGATTATAGGAAGGTCCTCTGACTCTCCGTATTAAAGAGTGATACAAACTCTGTCAAGGATAGGGAGAATATAAAAAAAACTCATCATGAATTTGGAGATCACGAAGAGTTGAGTGTCAAAATTGAAAACAGTACGGGAAAATTATCATAAGCGAGTACCTGTGCCCTGTGAGGTAAGCTGGCCCAGAATTCTAAGTTTGGGATTACCTGAAAAATGAAGGAAAACCACAATCAGTTGGAAAAAGGTATTAACCAAAAAGAAAGGTGGTATTGCTTCACGGCTAATACCTTTCTCCTTCAGACAAAATAGGTCGTTTGCCTGAGCATAGTTAAAATATGTTGCTGGCAAGATTTTATTAATCAACTACATCTCATATTCTGTTTCTAGAGTCTAATATTTAGGTGATATTTCATAAAAAACGTTGAACTGTTCAACGGAATTAGACGATTGAGTAAGATGTTAGCACTTAGCAGGCATTTAATGATTACAACAAATAGAGCTTAAAGAAGTTGTCACAAGATAATCTCAGTTTGAAGAAATAAAATTTGCAGATCCAAATAACTCTAACTAAACAAGTAATCAACTTATCTAAGCTTCTAACATCTCACTTTTGAGAGCTTATAAGGCATAAGCTCAAAACCAAGTCAAGTTGTTCTAAAAGCTTTTACAGTCAGCCAAACACTCTTAAAAAGAAGCTGACAAACTCCCACCATTTCAGTCTGGGGGCTCATAAAACCACGTAAAATATATAGGAACATAAAATCCCCCTATATATAATTGTCGAATGCGTTGAGCCTAAATAGCAAACTCGCATGTTTTGGCACCATGCTTCATAGCTAGGCTTGGATATAAAATTTAGTATTTTTTTATAAAATAATAATTAGGCTTGGATTGCAACAAAAATCTATATTATTCAATCAAAGATTTGATAAAGCTCTTCCTTCTTTTCTTATACAATTAGTTAGCATAAACTGTTTTACATTTCCTTTTCCTAGATTATCATATATCACATTTAATTTTCTTATTTAATTCATACACCAATTATTATAAATGTGTCTTCTTAATTCTTATTTTTAAAATTTTACAACTTTTTTATTTGTATTTTGTTTTATGATATATTAAATTAATTATCTTTTACCGATCTTCTTTTTGACATCCATATTACATATATAAAATACAAAAAACAATGATATACATCCTTATAAATAAATTTTAAATTGATTTATCACTAAATTATAAAATATCAAAAAACAAAACTACAAAGTATCTTATGAAGCAAGAGAAATTGATTTATATTAACATATCATCAAATATTTATTTTAATTGAAAGAAAAATATAAAATAAGTATGAATATAACTTTTATATAAAAAAAGTTTATGTCTCAACTTAAATAAGACTACAAAGAGACTGAAATTTTCATGCCCGGACATTGCCCTATGGCCCACGGCTTAAGAGGAGTCATAAAGGAAGTCTCAGTTCGCCCGCTAGCAACAAGTACTATAAGGATCTAGCTTAACTTCCTTACCTTTAGAAAAGGACGAAGAGGGAAGAGGGCGGAATGCCCCGTCTATTTCATTTCTGTAGACCCTATGTATCGGGCAGCGGCAGGATGAAATAAATTTTTAGTTGAAGTTCTCCTTGAACATTATAATGATATTAAAAATTTTAAAAAATGAAAAAAAAACAATGTTAATTATAATTAAAATAATAAAAATAATTATTATATTTCATAAAGTTTCCCACCCCGTTACAGTCGAGCAGTTTTCGCCACTTACTTTACCACTCTTCAAAGTCGAGCAGTTTTTGTCCCTTACTTTACCTCTCTTCAAAGAGTTCTATTATAAAAATATTACACCCATACACATTATATTAAATTATCGAATATTATAATGTTGCAGATATTTAAAAATATAATAGATGAGGAAGAAAATTTGTGTGTATCAAATATTAATCAAACATGGGAAAAAAATTAAATTAATTGAAAATAAAATTATTGAGTTGTAGATAATATAAATATATGTTTGTGAGTGTGTAATATTAAATAAATATCATTTGAACAAATTGAACGTAAAATATAGGTATTAGTTTAAATGATTAACTTTGTTAATTTTTTTAATTATAAGTTATATACTTATAACTATCATTATATTATAAGAATAAACTTTTCTTTACTTACTCTTTTGATACAAATAATTTTTTTTTTTATTTTAATGCACCCTGTTGGATTAATTATTCTATTTAATTTTGAAAAAAAATTGAATATATCTTTAATAAAATAAATAATATTTCACAAAAAATATTTTCTAGAATAAAAAATAATATTATAAATTCTTTTACTTTATTATTAATTATTTATAATTTTTATTTCACAATAGCAATTTTAATTCTTTTTCATTCTTTGTTGCACAATTAAGTTTTTCCTCAAACACTCGTGTAGTAACAATAATAATATGAATAAAAATAAATGGAGAGTTTATACGCTCATGAGTATTTCAAAGAGCCCATTAGCTCAGGTAAACACCAGCCTAGATGAAAAGATAACTAGATTTATCACGACTAATACTGGGACAAAAAAATTACCCATCATTTAGAAAGAAAGAATATATGTTCTACTTACATCAATGCCACGAACATGCAGGAAGAAGTACCGGTAAATTGCACCAGCTAGAATGTAACCTCCAAAGAGGCATAAGATTCTGGAAAACCAAATGAGACAATATTAATGAATAAAGTAATAATTTCCAAAGTACACAACAGTGAAGAGCTAAAATCAAAGTCATTACAGGATCATGAAGGTGCCAAATCCGAATCCGCTTCCTTTGGAGGATATAACCTCCGCACAACCTAATGGATGCTTCAACTCTGTGTTCTACAAAATAATAATCCATTTGAAATTAGGTTTGCACTGTACAAGATGAGGATACTTTTAATTAATAAAATTATCTTCAAATAAGCCCTATGTCTAAATGAGATTGAAAGAAAGACATACATAATCACAAAACCCAACTTTCTCCAAGGTCCTCGGACCCTGCAAAAAAAGAAAAACAAGGCGGGCGAAATAGTAAAAAAGATCATCTTGGTATGAGAAAACCCAAGCATTTACTATAGAAGTGGAAGGAAAGAAGGAAATCGTACTTGGACTCCATTTGAATTACAAATGACTGACACAGAAAGTGAACAGTTATGCTTTGGGCCACTGTTAGTCACCTTGACAGTGATCCCTGCATGAGGACTCTTTTTATCTGCAACAAAACCAGACAATAGAAGGCAATGATGCAACTTTCAAAATAGCTTAACAGTGAAATATAATCATGATGGCCAAGTGGTGGCTGCCAATTAGGCAAATAAGATCTTTTTTCTTAAGCCCCAACATACCACGGATATCAATGAGTGTGCTTGAAGGCTGACCAAGAGTAGTACAAACAGGATAGCCTGCACATCCATTTATAAGTAAAATGAGCAACTTCCTACAAATGCACCCATTTATAAGTTTTGGTATATGGCATGATATATGATCAAATCATTTCATTATTCATCAATCAGAAGAAATCCAGAGATGTTCAAATCAACAATTTTTTCCAGGTAAGAAAACCCGAGGACAGATTCAAGATACGGCAGGCTAAAGGAATATTTTTGCTTGACGACCACTTTGACATAACAGAACGCAATAATTCATGAATGTGTTACTGAGAGGAGTCCCTAAGAAAAAAAAAATGTATTGAAGCTCTTTTTGGCAGAACAATGACATTATTTCAACATCCATAATCTTAAGAACTCAAAAATGCAACAAGAATTAAAAATATCAATAAGCACATACCTCCATACTTGTTAGAGACGAGTGCACTGCAGCCCGTACCACAACGTGATTGACCCCCACAGTCCTACATATACGAATTTGTGAAAATCCGAAGTTAGTACCAATAGAGTGATGCTCAGTTATAAAAACCAACGAGGTCACTGACATTGCGATTAAATAGCACATATACGTTGAAAATATTAATGATATTAACTAAGTTTCAAAAAGAAAAGATTAAAGATGATAAGTTAGAGATCTAATTCCCTTGTTTTATTTATTTTTAATCTTAATGTGTTTATTCAAAACTAAATAGTAGGATTTGGGTCCATATGATGATTAGAATATAAATAAGGGTTGCATTATATCTCTGTTTAAACATATTACCTTCTCAATTACATTGTTTGTTGAATAGCATTGGAGGGATTTAAGCTTGGGTAAAGAACTATCAATGTTCCTAGGCCGGACAGGATTCATCACAACGAGAATACATGTTCCTTACTTATTTTTCAATTTAATGGCATCAATTGTTATTTTCCTAGTTCATTTTACTTTACACTTGAGAGTTGGCTCTATTACTCATTGTAACAATTGTTAATAGAAATATTATGATGGCCCAGTTGTTTCCAAGCTGACTTTTATTGAATCTCTAAAAAAAAGTCAATAATGAGCTATGCCGGTTCATTTTTTTCAGGAATATTGTGTTTGACCTCTTCCCCTCTCGAACACGTGCAAATATTTTCATGTTCAAAGTGAAAACAAAAATAGATTGCAATATTCAAAGCTAGAAGAGGCCAGTGATTCTCAGAAATTCCTCACCTTACAGTCGACACATAAAGGTATATCGTGGTTGAATATCATTGAACTGCAAAGCTGCTCCAAATCAACAAAGAACAACGTAAATTGAAACTAAGCAACCGATATGATAGAACTGGATACATCTCAATCAGCATAATAAACTGTGGGCCAAAACATAATGCACTCTTCAACAAAAGAAACAAGAAATGTAATATTGTAACCTGGTAGAGCCAACCTGAAACCAAAGCAAGGTCCCATTAATGGCCACTTTATAAAACCTGAAACCAAAAAAATCACCAAAAAAACACAAAAACAAAGAAAAAAAAAATAAGGGAAAATAAAATCAGTATTTGTACATTTAGTAATTAGTATAATAATCACTTTTTCAATTATACACTAATCATACACTACATAATGCCAAGCATCCATAGCTGAAGCTTCACTTCAGACATTACTTCCTCTTTTCATAAAACAGATTTTACATTCCAGACAACATGTAACCTCAAATAGACCAACGGATTGCATAACACCAAAAACCCAAATCAACGACACACAACAAACAAACAAACAAACAAAGATGCGAAAGATCCATAGCATTCAGGAAAAGGAAATTACCCATCTTCACTGAGAATGCCATGCGGGTACGTACGCACTGGAGAGGCCAAGCTGTAATGATAAACCTTGTTCCTGTCCTTGAAGCTGAGTTCACACAGCGGTGATACCGAGTCGGGGCTGACTCGGCGGAGAATCGTTAGAATCAACACCGGAAATAAAATTCGCGGGCTCAGATAAAGGCTTCTGCCAGTTTTCATTTCTCCTCCGAAAATCCCACGCCCAAAATTTGTCGCCAAGCTCTGCTCATTGGCAGAAAGAAACTAATCAGTCATTGGAAACCAAGAATTGGCTCAGAAATTACGTTGGACGATTGATTTGGGAGTTTGGAAGGCCGCGAAAGATGGAGGCCCAACTAATCAAATAAGCACAAATATTTGTTGGGCTTAATATTTCACTTTAACATTGGTGGAGAAGCCCAACACAACATTTGCCAATGGATCCATTTTTTATTCACGTATAGTCAGAGTTCTAAACAAATCGAACGTTCGCGAGCAGAAACTTATTCAAATTTGTTTATGTACGACAGAAACTCGTTCGTTTAGTATTTAATTCAATTTTTAACATTGTTTGTTAATCGAACGAATGTGAACCTATTAGCTAACATTCATTAATGTTCACAAATAATTTAATATAATTATATATATACACACACTCATGTTATGTTTCTAATAACAAATCTAAAATATATATTCTTTATGTTATTTCTTTTAGAGTTTCGAGCTCGAACGATTAACCAAACAATTTTAATAAACTTATTTACTAAATTACTCGAATATGAACGAACTTAAAATTTTACGAACAACTAAAAGAATAAGCTCTAATATAACTTTTTTGTGCGAAAATAAATGAACAAGTACCAACAGCGATTGAAGTAATCGAATACAAGCTCGAACTACTAAGCATGGTGCATTCGGTTCCATTACAGTGTTCCGCTACACTTGGTGTAGTTAAGAGCACGTGAGTTTTACAATTTGATTCATTTCGATTCGACTCGTTCAGTTCAATTACAGATAAATTCAAAAATTTTGACTAAAGGAAGGAGCTAAATTTTTGTTTGAATAACAAAACCAACAAATTCGAAACATGTTGCAAATACAAGACTATGCTCATTTATTAGAGGGTGAATGTTTATGGATTGAACTATGTTTTATTTGGTCTATTTTTTTAACTATAGTTAACTTTGAAACAAAAAAAGTGGTATGTTTAGTTGTTAGTGGATATATTAAAATAATATTTAGATAAAATAACTAAAGCTTATTTGATGTAAAGTGAGAGAAAAATGATTGGAAGTGATAGTTAGTTAGAATTATGTGAGTAGACGAACAATGAATTAAAGTTGACGTGATATGTAAGAATGATTGGTTGATATTATTTAATTATATTGATAATATTGAGATGATTGAGTTAAATGATTGATTATTTTATTATTGAATTTATATAAAATCACACCCTAATTCAATTAGGGTCATTTGCATTGATTTTAAAACCGAGCCCACACCTGTCGGTTCGGTTATCAAACCGAGCCCACACCTACTTTTAATGCCACTTTGGGTCCCATCAGCCAATCACAATTCACATGGATCCAAATTAACGCCGATGCCCTAAGAGCACCCACAATGCATTAGGTCTCTTAATAAAATATCTTATGCCACATAGGAAATATACTTAGTCTATTAAAAAATGTCTCACAATGCAATTAAAGATGGACATTGTCTAGATTATGTGGCAATAAGAAAAAAGAGACCAAGTCCACACTTG